TATTTGGTTATCATTTTACCCCATCATGATGATACAATAGCCGAAGAAAAAACCCTCTACATCGTGATTACTGATCGGAACCACCTTTTTATTATCTCCTAAGCATCGATCGTTTTCTAATTTAATTAAATGAACATGTAAACTAATACCCACGGTAACAAATCATCAACCAATGAATATCAATATTGTCTTTCATCTTCATTCATAATAAAAACGTAAAAAACATTAATCGACAAAAAAAAAAAAGGTTAATACATTTCGAATTGTGTCGTATCACTAAATCACTACAACCTCTCGTGTTATTTATTTTTATGAAAACGAGTTTATGAAATGAAATTAAACAACTAATAGAATAACGGAAATGGGGGATTAATCCTGGAGCCTCCAACAAGGCAAAGATCATTATCTACTTATGGCGTCCATATACAGATCAAATTAATCACAAAAGATTGTTGATGATATCAGAAAAATTCACGGAGGCAAACATCATCTACTTACGGCTAAATTACACAGTCAAAAGCCTCCAAACATGTGCATTGCTTCGTAAAAAGAAACCAGTGAATGTCAACTGTAAAGTCGACACGAAGTGTTTGCATTTCTAATCCCCTATTCAAATCACTTGAATGACATAATGAATTCTGTGTAGGGCACACACACGACGAACTGTTAGCTGTTGTATGTGATGACTTCAGTAACCAATCAAGCGTACCTTTAAGGCATGATGATGTTCAAACAATACCCCATACAGTCTTTATTTGAAATGGGAATTTACTTATTTTATCATTTGGATTTACTGTTAATTCATTATATTTCGTAAATTATGTTTGTTGAAAGCCACAATCATTGTTGATTTGGTATATGATAAATATTGTATTATTTGATTAAATAATGAAATGGTGAGTAATCCATGATAGTGTTGATACCAATCTCGCCTTATCAACACCATTTGATATGATTGCTGTTCTTTTAAAAATGTCCAGATTTTGTTTCGCAATTGATGTTACTGTTAGGTAAACAGTAAGTTGAAGGCTATGCTAAAGAAGAAATTCAAGTTGTATGTTTACCTTTTCATTTAAGTGTCTATACAAACTTTCATATAAAATTTCTTACAACACAATACGAACGTGAGATCTAGTAGTTTCCATTTATGAAAAGGAAATGATTCATCCATTCCTGAGGATGACACGGAAAGTTTTTAAACAATAAATCAATTAAATTTTGTGTATAGTCAGTCAAAATGATCGAACTAAATTCCATTATTTTGATTTGTCATAAATGCAACTAAGATATCTATAACACTTATAAGAAAAGTAGGGGACCCGGAGATGTCGATATTTAAAACTGCAATTATAAAACATATTTTTATATATACCTTAACATTCAAGAAATGTATTTACTGGTATCATATTTGATTTTGGAAATAATTTCTGAGTGTGAACAAAAACAAAACAAAACAAAAACACTCACAAAACAACAGTTGCCAACATAGAAAAAACAAAAAAGAAATAAAGGGAAAAAAGGAAATCAATACGAAGGACGAAAGAAAGGTAGAGTCTTATTGACATTTATATGTACATATATCTTAAAAAAAAAACACCTTTGGACCTACCAATCGACAACTAGTGTCCTATTCCACAACATCTAGTTTTAAAAAATGCATTCAAATATAAACCGATCCCAACAATTGGAACTAGCCCCACAAGTCTTATGTATCAGAATAACTGAATTTTGATATGGCCTTGGCCATGGAAGCTTCCTACAAAATTGTAATGGGAGGGCCACAGGTTATGTTTCAGAAGGAATAGAAAACTTCACCAGAAGACGCCGGATCAGAAAGGGGTTATCGAGCCTTGCTGAAGTGTCAGGTGACCCTAATAAATTTGCATGACAGAATACGACTTGAGAAGAAAACCCAAACAAATATATCGTAATTTTCTACTTGAAATTCAATGCTGAAGATCGTAAAGGGACTTTTCCTCTGCGTTATCAATCAGGGGTTTTACACTATCGATTTAAGATATTGTAATGACGTGATGCCAAAATGAAGAAACACAACATTCTGCAGTAAACAAAAACAAAAAAAAAAAAAAAATGAAATAACAAAACTATCATGATTAATAGTAATAGGAATCTGCACTAGACATTGTGTGAATGTTGGAAAAAAGCTTGGAACCACTGCAAAGCAAACCATTGCATTACGATGACTGACTTAAACACTTTCAGAACAGTTCCAGTGACACGATAGCCGGTATATGAAGGTTGTATATGCAGCAAAAACAAATAATTTCAGTCTTCATTCCTTCCATTATTACAAATGCATTGTATCCTTTGTTCGTATTTGTTTCATTGATTTTCATTTAAACAGTGGCGGTTTTGTTTACAATCCTTATTTTCGTAATGTTATATAAAAGGATTCTAGTGTAATTTGACTATTATGACAAACATTGTATATTTACTTGAACTGAGAGACTACTGAATGACAACTAAAACCAAATCTGCTAATAAAACCAAATACGAAAACAAAACAAATTAAATAAAACAAAATCACAAACAAACTAAAACAAAAACAAAACAAAAACAAAACAAACAAAAAATGAAAACAAAACATGTCCTGTATAACACCGTTTGGTGTCCCATTTAAAATTGTATTAACGCTGAAATAAATTGAAAATTTCTCTGTTTGGTCTTTCGTTGTTTTGTTTTGTAATTGTAAATCGGTGATAAAACACTGATGCTGCTTCTTCTATATCAGCCGCTTACCTCTATCTATTGCTACAATGAAACCAACATGGACACTTCCTCCAAGTTGTGTTATAAACGTGATGATTTCAAATTCCCCGTTGTGAATTTTACAATTTCTGGATAGCAGCAACACTGCATCCCCAATCTATGGGGTTTCGAGAGATACGGGTTAATGAACATAATACTGTCGTCATAATGATCTCATTGAGAAATATGCTATTTCTATGGGTTCAATTGCTGTTTACCATTTTCTCATTTAGAAACTTAACATCTGATCATATTCTCCTTATTCTTTTTCCGTGTAAATAGTTCACACTTATGTGCTTATTTTACCTTGATTTCATTGAATTTGTTTTTTAATTAAGATTTTGTTGACATACCCCTATGTTCTGTGTCTGTGATAAATAAACAATATTTACCATCAGCTGTAGATTTATCAATCCGTCACTGTTAGACACTTGTTGGAAACTTACACAACATTTGCTAATGAAAAATGGCTACCGAAACTAAACAATGCCTGCACTGTACCTAGAATATTGAATTATCAACAATAAATTTTAATATGATTTGGGTTCGTAGGGTGGCGTAGTGGTACCGCACTCGCATTTTACCTCGACGTCCCGGCTTTGATTCAACAAACGACTGTGAAAAAGCATGGGTGTCACCTGCTCGACCTCGTGGATTTCGCCCAAATAAATCGGTTTCTTTCCACAGTTAGACTTGTCACTTCCGTCCGGGCCACAACGAGTACTTAAGCCTTTAACTTTGTTCGCATTTGTTATATATAATCAATAAAGCCCAAATATTTATATCACAATAAATTGTTATGCATCTTTGATAACAAAATATTTGATATGTGGGGCTCTATTGTACAAACGACATGCAGTATGTTTATATTGTCAAATAATGAAGTATTTATACATTATTTCATTGTCCGCTTGCTGCAATAATAGTTATATACGGTATTATATTGAAAGTGCGCCGTCTTATGACATAAAACATCATTACTTTAACCCTTTGCGATGTATACATATGTAACGATAAGACATTTCGCGAGGAAGCCACAATATGATGGTACCTAAATGAAATAAATGTCCTAGTGCATTAAAAATATCCCATCAAATACTCTCATTTGAGAACATTTCCTCTGGTTTTATCACACAGAACAAGTGCCTTTCATAATACACTTTTAGGTCATCAACGATCAACTAATCGATAGTTGCAAAGCCTAGTATTAATGATTAGTATCAAATCACAAACGTAACACGAGTACGCGTTCTTGTCGATAACACTACAGGTTTCCTGTCAAATTTAGCAGAACAAAGCACATCATTAATATTTAACATCTCCTTAGCAATACATCACGGGAAATAATAAAATGCAATCATACATCCACACGTGTCTGATTGGAAATTAGATTACACAATGTGTGATTTTTGTACGTAGTAGTGTGTGTTTACATATTGAAACAGACATATATCAATTAACGTAATAATGTAATATATAGTGGAGAAACGGTTAGAAACATATCTATAAATACTATCAAAAATGAAAAAAAAATCGTTTTCATATTTTTCTATAATATCTATATATTCATTGATTTTCAATAGATCACAATCATATTAATTTCAGGTTTTATTTGTGAGTCTCATACAATGTGGTATTTACATTACAGCTTTAAGAAACAAAATGCCATTTCTCTGAGGTCAAATTTCAACTTAATTCTTCTCAGAAACTGTATGATTTCGCATCCATTACAAATTACAATTAGCGAGAAGTGAAACAAATCATATTATCATATCATAAACAATTACAAAGATATGTCAGTTACAAAATTAAAACTGACAACACGCCAGGCTTTACCATGGTAATATTTCATATTATATTATATTGATGGATGGAAGTGTTTGATGTATGATATAAAAAAGACAAACAAAAAAACCCCACATATAGCATCAATTTCTGTGCAAGGAAAATGCCATTTTTTTCCCAATCTGAAAATATTTGATATCTAGAGTAGCAAAGAAACATGGTGTATACATTTGGTGACAAAGAGGTTTAAGAATAGCTGGAAATAGCACAACACTAATTAGCATCTCTAGATAAAACACTTCTCATTTTATCTGTTATCGGCTATGAATACACCGCATGTCAATTTATAGGATATTCACACAATATACATACTCGGATTCTTAAAACAAATACATGTTATTCAATTGTAGAAATGTAAAGCACTTACAACTATTTCTACTGAAAGCATGGCGATGGATGGTAATACGTTTATCGTTATGCTGTAATGGTGGATGATAATGTATATGTCCTATCATTACTCACCTATCTGTACAGTGTTGTCGTCCGAAGCAAGACACAACATCAAAAGCGTAAATTGTAAGTACAATAGTGTCGCTAATGCCATTTTTCTTGGTTCCTGATCTCTCGAGAATAGGTGTCTGTCTTGAACATACTTTGAGAATTACTTTCACTACTGCCTGGTGAATACTAAGGCGTCCACAACACATTCACTTTAGCGCATGCCTGCCTAGGGTCGGCTCAACTCATCTTCTCTCCGTTTCCCATATACACCAGACCGTCGCCCGCAAATAAGTCTGTGCTATTGCAAATATGAGTCAATGCTAGAGCGACATTGTACGTTAGAGATAATTGCACAATGTTTTCTTTCACTGTCCGGATGCAGATCGCGTTCGCTAAATTAACCAATATTTCGGCACATTACATCTTAAACAATTAGCAGGGTTCGCGATGCAAATCTATCTCTCCAGAAGCCTTGCGACAGTGGCTTGGAAAGCAGGCTGTCAGATCAATGGAGCGTCTCCCTACATTTCTATGCAGAAGCTTCGAGGAGAGATTCGGCATATTCGCCCTCTGAACACGTCCATTAAATATCATAAAGCTGCTTCCCAGACTCTGTACACAGATAGGAGATCTCTGTAGCACCGTTGTAGCTCCCTATTAATTTACTTTCCGTCTCAATGCACCCGAAGGATTCATGTGCAAATTTACCACATTTGTTTAAAAGCGTTTTATGTGAATGTCAAGCAGACACTGCTTCAGCGTGAAATATAATCATATGGATAAATAAGTCTCAGTTTTTTCAAATAAATATAAATCAAAAAGATAAAAACACGGGTATTTATATGTTAGTTAATCTGAATGTTTTAAATACAAACAAAAACATTGCTGGCAGGAATCCTATAGATATGTTGATTTAAAAAAAAATCAGTTGCACGAATAGTTGATAAATCTCAGTTTTTTGTTTGAAAAAAAAACCAAAACAAAATTAAAAAAAACCTATGCATTTTACTAATCCAATTTGGACATATAAAGATAATTATGAAATAAGCTGAGTATTGTTACATATGTTTATTTTGTGTGTAGTTATTAATACAGTATCAATTACAATATGATACTATTTTATAAAATACGTCATACAATTGATAAGAAGGATACATGTTAACTTATTTTCACATTTGTGATGATTAAATTCGCAATTTGATTTTAAAATCTTTTAAAAGACCTATATATTAAGGTATCAGACATATTTTTAATGTTAGGACCCTACACCTCAGTCTGTTTGTAAACGCGCGTCACTGTGCCATGGGTTTGATTATTTAGCTTTATAAGCATGAGGAGGGATTAAGTTATAATTTACATTAAACATGTGTCGTCCCGCCCGCCCGCCTCTCTCAGTAAGTATAGCGTGAAACGCGTATGCCCGTCCATATTGACAGTATAATTAGCGGTTTATACCGACACCTTTCGCTCCGGCACGGAGACTGGGCATCTCCATTGACATCCATTTGACTCCATTTTCTCTCACAGAGAATCCTGCGGCATCTCAACCTTTTCTGCGCCTGCGCGAACCGTCTCTTCCTAGAAATCTCTCGATTGTCTGTTGAAGCGAACGTTAAACAACTAACTGTTAGCAGCGTATAGCTTGATCGCTTACTATGGCGATATCCTATGTCGGACATGTTTTAGTTATATCACAGACAAGATGAGGAGTTGTATTGTAATATATATATTTTACCTGTTTTCTGGCACTTTCCTTTTGAAGTCAGCCAGCGGGCTCCGGACTTTCAACATAAGTAAGTACCTATCTTTGTCTGCATGTTAATACATAGTAATATGTGTGTGGGTAACACAACATAATTATTTATATTCTATATTTAGCTTTAATGATACAAATTTTTGCTCTATATTAGAAAGGCAAATAAAGCATATTGTATCGTTACTTGAGAACACATTGAGATTAAATATCAGCAATATACTCATTTGTTGTAAGAGTAATTTCGGGATATCTTTTCGAGTGTAGTATCTTGATCAGATCATCGTTGATAATTGTGTGCTATGTCGAGACAGTAGTCGAAATATCTACAGATTTCTTGTACAAATACACACAACCCTATTGCGCATTCTGGGGGCATTTTTATCGATTAAGAGCATTACAAGGCATGGAAGATATTAGACGGGTAATTGGTAACGTGTCGGGGAAGATCTTTATATCAAACCAATTCTCTTGGATCGATCGATTCGGTCCCCCCTTGGGAGGATACTGACGCTCGTCGGGGAGGGGGATATCAACAAAATCATTATCATTGAATAAAAGGGACAGAGCAATGAATTACATTTGTCCCCGGTAAAAATCGAACGAATTCAATCGGCAACGGTCCAAGTATGTTATAAAGTAATTTTTGGTACAATATCATTTGAGTTTTCAGGCGACAGCGTGGTGCTACCAAGCTCAGGGTTAGTAGGCATGCATTATTGACAGCTGTGGTGAGACACTTCGGTCATCGATCTTAATTTAGACATCACTATTGAATTCAGGAAAGACGAAGAAACCAAAATTCTAGAAATCCTTTATTCTGGTTCATATTACCTCACTAAAATAACGACATTTACGAATAGTTCCGCTTGGTGTCAACTGGTTTAACATGACTATTGGTAGAAGTGATAAAATAAAGACACAATGAAAAAAAGTTGTCACTCGTGAGGAAAAACGAAAACATAAAATTCTGATTTCTGAGTATTTGTTGCCAATACCTATTTGCCTCTTGAGACTTCCTCACACAGCTGTGTGGCCGATCGTACGTCAGAGATGTGTGAAGTGTATTCCACGGTGTGGTTTACTATCTGTTCTTCTGATCATAAAATAGGGATGGGAAACACACTGTTCGCCTTCAGGGACAGAATATAAGGGCATGGCTTGAATAGCAATGTTTGTTTGTACACATGTTGCGTAAGACACTAAATAAATACCCCTTTTATACACGATGCCAACACTTTCATGGTATAAACGGTTTCCTGTTGATATTTAATTTCCTAAAGTTGATACGTTATAACAAAATTATGCATTTTTAATTGTGTGCATTATATTTAATGTCGCTTAATATGTTATTCTTATTATAATATCCGACATTTAACTCAAATAGTGAGAAGTTTTTCTTTTTGTTCTGCTTTCATACATCTAATCTTTTATTTTTTTATTTTGAAAATTGAAAATTTATAGACAATGGCATATGTCTGAGGGTTGACTTGTTTGTAGCACTGTTTTAATGTTCATAATAGAAACAGAAAAATCGACATGAAAAAAATCGAAAAAAAAAAAACAACATAAAACACACACAAAAAACAAAACGTAATAGTCGTGTGCTTAAGTAACAAACCGTGTCTATAAGTAATTCGAGGGCTCATGGAAGTGTCTGTTGTACCATTGAAATGGCATGTACCCAGAGACTGTAGCATGATATCAAATCCGCTCATATTGTGAATGTCATAAGTATAAGCTTTGTTTCAAACGGGAAAAAAACGAAGCAACACTTGTTACTCTCCGTTTCTGAACATTAAATAGACTTGCTTATCTGTCGTCGTTAGAATGGGAGCGGATCTGATTTCATGTGAACCTGTTTAGATTCTTAAGGGCAATGACTGTCAATTCTAAGGGCTTTCTGTTAGACCCCATAAGGGAAGATCCATCTATATTCTTCACCTGAAGAAACTTAGCATTCTTAATGTTAATTGAAAGTAAATACTAGGTATCGTGCTTGGAAATTTCGAAAGTACTTTAAAGTTGAATTGATATGAAGATGTCTTCATTTCATAATAAGTCATGATCGCTTTCATACTGGACTCAACATTTGTTTATGACATGTTTATGCTTGGAAAGAAATACAAGCTAACTAATGATTTGAACCGGATACTTATTCTTCAAGTGTCTCTTTTACATAATCATGGATATAGATGTACAATGACGATAGGGATTCTGAAATATATAGCAATGGGGTTTTTGAAATTTTTTTTTCTCTTTTTTTTTTTTTTTTTTTAATTTTCAAAAATATGCTTTCATTAAATTTACATTTTTTTACATTTAGAGTTCAGGTGTAAAAAACCAATCATCACAGTGGACTGTACAGAGAGTACAGGATTTGCTGTATTTTATTAATCGTTTCTATCCATAGATACTATTTGTACACACCTTGTGTACTTGTCAAACCTCCGACCTTTACAGCTTTATTGGCTACTTTATGATTAAGATCCGTTGGTAGCGGACAGCACGACCGCTACATATAGTTTTACAATGTAAATTTTGTATCGTCTAACCTTACAGAAAGCAGCATGTAAATAACCAATGGCTGTGTAATCAGGTCAGCTATTGCGAGTCATACGTCGTATCCATTAGATAAGTACAATATATTGTCTAACCCAGTACACACATCCAACAGCTATATACTCAGACGGTGTAATAATATCACAGCTTTAGAATTAAACGTATACATACATGCATAAAATGCATAAACGTAAGTGATGTTCTGTAGAATCTTCTAACGTAAAAACCGAATATCAAATTTCAGGGAATCTATGGGTGTCTGCAGTTGTTAATTTTGGCTTTTTGTCATAGTTTTTTTTATCATTTTATGCTACCATATTGTCTGTTGGCTTTTATTCACAAATGAAAAATCTGGGTGTTAAACGATAGAAAGGGTTGTATGTCAAATCGTTGTACATTACTGGGATGGTACATCATCTTTCTTGGTCAAGGGACTGCGTTGTGGTTAAGGGACGTATTTTTAATAACAAAGAGTGGAAGATGCGTTAAGCTGAAAAAGTGCATGTCATTGATTACATAATACAATGTCTAGACAAGAAAACTGTTTATCAGCTAATAGATATTCATGTAGGCGTGTATCTGTGGGAGTTGGTGAGAAAGACTTCAGAAGGAAATATTTCATGTCACCCAGATGTAACACGAC